ATTCGTTTTTGTTTTCAGTGTGTCGCATTATTGACACATAGATCAACGCATGGGTCAACAATTTTATATTACTGTTAAATCTATTCGCTTTTACTGAGTTAAATCATGTAGTAACTTGGAAATGATAGGAAAATGTGATAGATGAAATCAAAACACAGTGTGTTAGGGAAAGCATGACCTTGGACCAACACATTGTAATATACGTGCTGTCATACCACATTCTTAATACTTCCCATGGGAAATGTTTTATGATGATTAATTGGAAGGCTGTAAAATACTCTGAATTAACTGCATGAAAAATTCCTGGTTATAAAAAACAAAATACTTATAAGATTTTTACATGGTTTTTCTTTGCCTTTATTGGCTTTAATTCTGCAATGTTCATTAAGATGATTTATAATCTCCAGTCCCTTTCTGTAATCCAGCTCCAATCCTTTCAGATTTTATCACAGTATAAATAGGTAAGAAATAATGGTGCCTCCTGCATACTAAATAGAGGTAGTTCTCTGAATACAAAATTGCATGCAAAAGCACAGGGGCACTGCCATAAAGGGTGTATGCGCCCATGTTTCTGAACATTTGACTAGGTGTGATATGACAGGGTGTGTACTATGGCTTTGCTTTAATCCATCCCAAAGCCTGAAACTTTGAGTTCTGAGATGAGGACCACCTCAAAAAAATGTGATATTTCACAGTCAAGCAGAGTCTTTTCATTTCATTAGGTGGTGGAAACTGTTTTCATTTTGGTGATGAAAACCATTAAAGCTGGTACTTTCTAAATAGCTTGGGTAGATTAATAAAAACAATGCCCCCAATATACTGAAATCCTAAGTATTTACATAGCATGTTACAATTACTCTCGTTTAATTTTCAAGATGTCCAAATACACAAATAACTACGGTTAATTTCCAGGTTATAGATGAGAAAGCAGCTAGAGAAATCCAGCCCTTTGCCCAAGGTTTCCAGGTAGGAAGACAAATCCCTCAAATTGCCCATAATACAAAGCTGCTACTTAAAAGTTATCTCAAGCTTTAAAAGATTTCAATGTGTAATGAATTATGTAAATATATACTTAATATATAGAGCTACACTGTGTTAAGAGTTGGGGAATTTGGAAGATAAATGGCAAGGCAACTGGAAACCTAGCAAAGGGAAAAGGTTCTGAAACTCATCCAGTGTCCTCACATTCAGTGAGGAAATTCCTACAATAAAGGATTTCTAAATTATTGCTTACACATCTATTAGACAATGTCCTATAATTCATGTAGCTGCACCACATGTCAATCATCTGTTAAGGGGGTAAGGCTTGTTCTTTTGATTTCACTGACTAGGTATTCGCTATATTCGTATTTTAAAATATTAAGATAAGGACTTTATGGCTTTGATTTTCTTCTTCCCTTCATAATATGGGCCCAGTGTATTTGCAGCAAGTCTTGCTGACTCATTCTCAGACTCTTCCAAATCCATGCCATTCCCCACTGCAGTGTCAGTGCTATGGTCCATGCTCACAGCTTCCACATCTAGATTCATGTAACTATCTACAATCCCTTTCAACTCATATATGGCAGCTAAAGATATCTTTGGGAAAGGTAAAGCGCCTTATGTATGATAACACCTGTCTTGGATCTGCTGGCCTCCTATGTTTCTCCTCCTGTCTTACTGGCTGCAGCCATTCTGGTTCCAGGATGAATGGTACTTTCTGTCTTGCCCCCCTCCACTCGACTGGTGCTCCACCTGCAATGTTTTTGTGCAACAATCCATGTAGCTATCCTTCAAGTTGCCTCACCTTGCCTTCAACTTAACTTGAAGACCTTCTATCTTTATTTCAAGTGAGTTCCTTAAGGCTCCTACCACAACCAAACACTCTGTATTTCCTGAAAGATTCAGGAATTATGCTGGCCTGGACCTGTTACCTGGCAGAATCCACTCAGTCAGTACCCTGGTCAGCCCAGGGTTCCATGGGAACTAAGTCTGCACACAGGTGTAAAGGACCCCTTTCAAAGACAGGCCCCTGCCCACTTACGCCCTCTTCTCTTACACTTTCTCCTCTCTTCTCCTACTCTCACACCCTCTTCTCTCTTCTCTTCTCTTCCCTTCTCTTCTCTTCCTCACTTCTCTCTCTTGCCTTCCTCTCTCTCCCACTCTCCTCCTCCCCCACAGGAATAAAACTCTTTGGTTAACATATCTCTCGTTTTTAAGTCTCATCTTGTGCCTCATATATATATATATACATATATATATATGTATATATATATATGTATATATATATATGTTTATGTATATGTATATATGTATATATATTAAATTTTTTAATTTAAATTAGAAACAAGATTGTTTTACATGTCAATCCCAGTTCCCTTTCCCTCCCCTCCTCCCCTGCCCCCCCATTAACACTCTACCTATCCCATACCATTTCTGCTCTCCAAGGAAAGTGAGGCCTTCCATGGGGGGGTCTTTAGTTTCTGTCATATCCTTTGGGATAGGGTCTAGGCCCTCCCCCATGTGTCTAGGCTGAGGAAGCATCCCTCTATGTGAAATGGGATCCCAAAGTCCATTCCTATGCTAGGGATAAGTACTGATTTACTACAAGAGGCCCCATAGATTTCCGAGGCTTCCTCACTGACACCCACATTTATGGGGTCTGGATCAGTTCCATACTGGTTTCCCAGTGATCAGTCTGGAGGCCAACAGCTCCCTCTTGTTTAGGTCAGCTGTTTCTGTGGGTTTCACCAGCGTGGTCTTGACCCCTTTGCTCATCACTCCTCCTTCTCTGCAACTGGATTCCAGTTCAGTTCAGGTTTTAGCTGTGGGTGTCTGCTTCTACTTCCATCAGCTGCTGGATGAAGGCTCTAGGATGGTATATAAGTCAGTCATCAATCTCTTATAAGGGGAGGGCCTTTAAGGTATCCTCTCCACTGTTGCTTAGATGGTTAGTTGGTGTTATCCTTGTAGATTTCTGGACATTTCCCTAGTGCCTGATTGTGCTTCAAACCTATACTGGCTCCCTCTTTGATGGTGTCTTTTATTTTGCTCTCCTCTATTCTTCCCCCAACTCAACCTTCTTGCTCCCTTATGTCCTCCTCACCCCTCCTTTTTCCCCTTCTCATTCCCCTACCTCCTTATCCCCTCCCCCATGCTTCCAGTTTGCTCAGGAGATCTTGTCCTTTTCCACTTCTCTGGGGGACCATGTATGTCTCATTTAGAGTCCTTCTTGTTGCCTAGCTTCTCTGGTGGTGTGGATTATAGGCTGGTAATCCTTTGCTCTATGTGTAAAGTCCATATATGAGTGAGTGCATAACATGTTTGTCTTTTTGTGACTGGGTTACCTCACTCAGAATGGTTTCTTCTAGTTCCATCCATTTGCCTGTGAATTTCAAGATTCCATTTTTTTTTTCGACTGAGTAGTACTCCATTGTGTAAATGTACCACATTTTCTCTATCCATTCATCAGTTGAGGGGCATCTAGGTTGCTTCCAGGTTCTGGTTCTTACAAATAATGCAGCTAAAGATATACAATGGAATAAAGAAAGCATCTTCAACAAATGGTGCTGGCATAACTGATGCTGGCATGTAGAAGACTGCAAATAAATCAGTTGAGGGGCATCTAGGTTGCTTCCAGGTTCTGGTTCTTACAAATAATGCAGCTAAAGATATACAATGGAATAAAGAAAGCATCTTCAACAAATGGTGCTGGCATAACTGATGCTGGCATGTAGAAGACTGCAAATAAATCCATGTCTATCACCATGCACAAAACTTAAGTCAAAATGGATCAAAGACCTCAACATAAATCTAGTCACATTGAATCTCTTAGAAGAGAAAGTGGGAAGTACCCTTGAAGGAATTGTGACAGGAGACTGCTTCCTGAACATTACACCTGTAGCACAGACACTGAGATCAACAATAAATAAATGAGACCTCCTGAAACTGAGAAGCTTCTGCAAGGCAAAGGACACAGTCAACAAGACAAAAATGGTAGCCCACAGATTGGGAAAAGATATTCACCAGCCCCATATTGGACAGAGGGCTGATCTCCAGAATTTACAAAGAACTCAAGAAGCTAGTTTCCAAAACACCTAATAATCCAATTAAAAAGTGGAGTGCAGAACCAAATAGAAAATTAGGAACAGAGGAACCTAAAATGGCTTAAAGACACATAAGAAAGTGCTCAACATCTTTAGCCATCAGGGAAATGCAAATTAAAACAAATCTGAGATAACATCTTACTCCAGTCCGAATGGCTAAAACAGAAACACCAATGATGTGAACTTATGCTGGAGAGGATGCGGAGTGGGAGTGCAAACTTTTACAGCCACTTTGGAAATCAGTATGGCGATTCCTCAGAAAAATGGGATGCATCCTACCACAAGATCCAGCAATTCCACTCTTTTTTATATTTTTAAACCTTAAAAAAATAACAACAGTTCCTGCTTTACTTCACTGCTTATTCACTCTGAATCTTCCCAAGAAGACAAGCAACTCTTTCGGGTCTGTTTCTGCTGTATCCACCCCCTGTGTCCAACCTTGCTCTTGCATGAGAAAACTGATGGCTATTTCCATAGGTCAACCACAAACTATGGAAATACTAGATAGGGAATCAAGTGTGTTGAAATATTGCTTATTTGCTTATTGTCATCAAATACCCAAAGTTAAGTCACAGAAATTCTAAGATACAATTTCAAGTGTATTTAAATGCAGAATTTATGTGGCAGGCTATTTTCTAAATGTTTGACTTAAACGAGATCATCTAATTCTATCAGAAGCCTTGGAAGAGAGTACAATTAAATCCTTTGACTTATGAAGCATGAGGCCCCTCCAAAAGTCCCTTCCAGGGAAGGGGAAGCTGTCTTTGAAGGCTTAAATATAATTGTTCTGCCTGCCAGGGGAGGCTTGTACATGTTCTGAATAATATTTTTTTCTGTGACAAAGAATTGAACCTAGGGTCTCATGCATGCTAAGGAAGGGCTTAACCACTGAGCTACAGGCTCAGCCCATGATTTTGTAGCATGGACTGCTACAAAAATGTGCAAGTCATCCTTCTACAAGGGCAATGCTAATCTCCCCCAAAACATTTCATTTTTAGTATATGTGCTGCTGAAGCAAGCACAGAATTCATTTTGTAAAAGATGTCTTACCCAATGTCATTTCTTGTTGGATTTGAATTTAAATTTTTATTTTATATATTGACAAATTATAGTTATACATACTTCTGAATTACAAAACGTTTGATTTAAAATATCTATTACCCTTGATATCTAATATTTTTGATGATGAGAACTCCTGAAATTTATTCTCTGTGATACAGAAATGCACACTATTCAATTCTTAGCTTTGTTTAACAAGAAGTATATTTGATCTCAAAAATTAATACCAAGCCTCTTCCTTCTACCCAGTAAATCCTGTATCACTTTTTAACTCTGCTAAGGTTTCCATGGGAAAACACCAGCATGAATATCTAGTGCCATAGGAACTAAGCCAAATGAACTAGGGGTGGGGGGTGTGGGTGAGGCAATTATCCATGGGCAGTAGCCCAAGAGCCACTCCGGGGCCCTGAAACTTGGCAGCCCTCTTCCATCACTGATCTGGCAGGCTGACAATGGGCATTAATGTTATTAACAAGGTCATGTGTTAAATATGCTTCCTATCCCAAATCTCATCAACTCACAGGTGTCATCTGGCTTAGCTTGCTTCACCTCAGGTGCACTGGCAAAGCCCCTGTCTTGGAATCAAGCACGGATAGAACCAGCATGGGGTCCAATACACAAGACTGTCTGTCCACTGTGTATCTGGGAGATTTCTCATACTTCATGAATGCTAACGAAGAAGACAATTTGTGGGCTAGGCATGATGCTGATTCCCCAAGAAAGTGCAAGAATTCCCAGGATACTATCAGAAATAAGCAGGGATAATGACAGTCTAGTGTTTTCTCTTTCTGAAGCTTTCTTAAAGGCATGATTTAATCATTTTCTCCTTTTCAGAAAAATTTCACTAACGATGTCTCACTATAAAGGCATAGTGCGTTGACAATATCTACCCAAAGATCCATAAATGAGGACAAAAAAGGTTTTCCTATTTTGTGTATTTAATTGGTAACTTTTCTCAAGTAATTGTGTAGTTAACCTAGCATAGAGAGGAAGGTGACACAACCTTGCATTACACTAGCAGATTTTAGCCAGCAGCATTGAATCAGCAGTCAAAAGAAAATCTTGAGGACTTAATGGTACAAGCAACATTTTCTTCTTGTTTTCTATAATTAAATGGGTTCTCGATTTTTCTTTTAACATGGGCATGTGCCTTCAAGCAGTTACTTCTACATCTATTTATCTGAAGCTAGAAATGTGTGGGAAGTTTCTTGAGTAGTAAATATTCAGGAAATTATTAGAAATTAAGCATTTCTTTGGCCTATGATTCCTATCTGATTGAGTTCTGCTTCATTATAATTTACTATTGACTCATCTTGGCACCATTTATTTTGCATATTGTGCAAAAATAGTGAAATGTAGACAAAATAGGCCAAAGAAGAGAATTTACCATTGTGACTGGTGGCCACTTTTATTGTTTAGGTTTTTAGTCTTAGGTGTTCTGAATATAAAATTTGATTATATGTGCTTGAGCCCTACTCAAGTTTGGTAAACAAGGTTTTGAGGCTTTTATGAGATTAAAGTGCTAATGACAGTTGACCTAAGGTATCACTTGAAACCAGTCATGTAACCCAGACCAGGCACAGAGACAACACAGGAGCAGAGACTTCAGTCAAATAAAGAAGGTAAAGACTATGGAGACTCTCCATCTTCCAGATTTATTTTGCTATAATGGTTTACATGTTGTTCTTTCCTTTCTAAAGAGAGATGAGGGTGAGAGCCTAGTCCCAGAGGTAAGTCTTTTAGACTCCCATCATGGACAGCACAATTCAGAGAAAGAATTGTCACCAACAGTTCCATTATTTTATCTTGTAAACTCAGTCATTCAGCATTATCAACCTTGGCCTTTGAGATCATGGGGTAATTATACACTAATATAAAGACACGAGATTCTGAGAGATTGAGTGACCTCAAAAGTCAAATGGTTGAACCTCTTTATTTTAGAGCTGAAGAAAATAAAATTCAAAGAGACTAGATGAATAATTCAAGGTCACAACTTGCAAGTGGCAATGCTAGTCCTGGGCTCCAGGTGCCCTACCTTATAGTTCAGACACCATCTCTCAGTATACCCCTGAGTTTGGGGGATTTGAGAACAAAAGAAATACTTTAAGACCACAAATTCTCCAGGAGAAAAAAAAATCTACTCAAAAGTCAGGACCCTAAGAAAGACATACATGATCCCCCGAGAAAGGGAAATAGACAAGATCTCCTGAGCTAATTGGGAGCATGGGGTAGGGGAGAGGGAGTTAGAAGAAAGAGAAGGGGAGAAGAGGAGGGGAGAGGAGGACATAAGAAAGCAGGAAGATCTAGTCAGGGGAAGAATAGATGAGAGTAAGAAAAGTGATACCATAATAGAGGGAGTCATTACAGGTTTAAAGAGAATTCTGGCACTAGGGAAATGTCCAGAGATCTATAAGTTTGACCCCAACTAATAATCTAAGCAATAGTGGAGAGGCTACCTTAAAAGCCCTTCCCCAATAATGAGATTGATGACTATCTAGGTCATCCTAGAGCCTTCATCCAGTAGCTGATGGAAGCAGAAGCAGACACCCACAGCTAAACACTGAGCTGACCTCTGGAATCCAGTTGCAGAGAGGGAGGAGTGATGAGCAAAGGAGTCAAACCAGGCTGGAGAAACCCACAGAAATAGCTGACCTGAACAAGGGGAGCTCATGGACCCCAGACTGATAGCTGGGAAACCAGCATATGACTGTGCTAGACCCCCTGAACAAGGAGGTCAGTTTGGAGGTCTGGTTAATCTATGGGGCCTCTGGTAGTGGATCAGTACTTATGCTTAGCATATAATGGATTTTGGGAGCCCAATCCACATAGAGAGGTACTCTCTCAGCCTAGACACGTGAGGGAGGGTCTAGGCCTTCTCCAAATGATATGACAGACTTTGAAGTTCCCTCATGGAAGGCCTTACCCTCCCTGGGGAGCAAAAAGGGCATGGCTTAGGGGGTTGGTGAGGAGCAGGGGAGGCGGAGAGGGAGAGGGAACTGGGAATGACATATAAAAGAAGCTTGTTTCTAATTTAAATTTAATAAAAGATTAATTGAAAAGTGCATTCTTTCTTCGTTGAGAAATAGATTGTTATATACGGAATACTAATTATAGATGTATAAGAGTATATTACAGTGCAATAATGTATACTATAATATTAGATGTAATTGACATAAAATGACAGTCTTTGTAGGAAAAAAATGAAAGTATATTAAAAAAAAAACAAGTCATCTCTTTTCTGTGATTTGTGAATCGCCTGGAGATGCAGTTACAGAAGTCTGTTTGCTGTGGTAGGACCAATCATTTACTAACTACCACCTCCCAAAAGACAGTAGCACACTTGGCCAACAATGGTTATCCTGAGCCCACTCAACAGGTTTCTGAGAGTCCTTTTACGTAGTTGATCTAAGCAGAAATGCCACAGCATTTTCATTTGACACAGAGTTTCCAGGACGTTTGACCATGGGCACAAAAGCAGAAGAGCAAATTGTTTCAGAGAATAGTTGCTCTTTTGACAAAAGGTAGGAGTATCCTGTAGGCTATATGTATCAGTTCAGAAGTGTTTTCCACTGGAAGCCTAAGTCTTTTTATTAGAGAAAAACAAGGACTGTACAGATGCACAAGTCTAAACCTGACATTTTCAAAAGCATTAACATGTAGACTAGCAAAGCTTGGAGGGAAGTCATCACTTCAAGGTATACTGAGGCAATTGCTTTGTTAAATACTTCACCTTATTAAATACTTCACCTATTTTGTGTAGAATTTATCTGCATGGTGACTGTAAAATATGCTATTATTGGGTATTAAATTTCTAAGATGGGTTTTTAAACACCCACAAAATATATTTCCTTTGTAGGCCACTTCTGCTCAATGATCTTTAGGTGTGGAAGTTAAAGCCAACTATAACTTTGGGTTGAACTTTCCTGTTAATATAAGCAAAAGTAAGATAACTTTCCTTTAAATCTGGGTAATTGCTGTCACCCTCCACTTTAATTGAACTTTGAGACACAGCCAAAGAAATATTTTGCATAGGGTTTTATCTTCAGTTTATAGATAGATATTTATTATACAACATAGATAGAGCACAATACAAGCTTTAAAAAAGTAAAGGATCTCTTAAGAATAAAGTATCCAAGACTATTCAAACTACCAATTACCCACCATCTCATCACTGGAAGTCAAAGCTGATTTTTTTTTCTCCCAATTATTAGATAGTTTGCTGTTGCCAGCTAGCTGCCAATTTCCTTTCTCCTACTGGGGTTGTCTCTGTCTCACTTCCTGTATTTAGCCCACAGCCTTGGAGTTTTACTAGTTGACAAATATTCCAAATGTTTTCAGAGCTTTTCCCTGAGCCCTTTTCACCACGGAGCCCCTATTAGGTGTTGGCTATTCTTAATTATCTGGATGCCAATTAGCCGGGGTCTGGAATCAAGACAGACTCTGCCTTTTCCCCTTGTCTTTCCTGCCACCTCCTGTCTTTTGGCCACAGTACAGCTTGTTAGCGCCTTCAAGAATGAAGAAGGAACAGAGGTAGAGGTAAACGCCTAGAAACTTGAAGAAGCTCATTTTCTAAGTTGGGAGATCTGGTTGCATGGTTACCAAGGTTAGATATTAAAAACATACAATAAAAGCAAATTTTCTTGTGTATATCTCATTCCCAAGCTCTCTCAGATTCCCATTGCTGGGGTTACAATGGAAACTGCTAGCACTGTACTTGGTGCTTTATTCTGTGCAGGAAATCCTGTTCAATGAGTGCTTTTGCTTGGTGTTGAGCCTTTTTTTTACCAATGAGTATAGGGAAGTCAGCTTTCCTGGAAATTCTGGCACCATGTTATTATAAATTTACCACATTGTTAACTGCAGTAGTGCTAGCTAACAATGGAGTTAATGTTTCTTTTGTATTTCCAGTGTTTTTTTTTTTTTCCCTTGAATTAAAACAGTAAGGCTATGGGAGAAATCAAGGAACAAAGATGCTTTTATATAAGACATGCAAAATGCCTTGCCAAATTTTCATTTAAGACACATTATCATTATTTCACATCTATGGAGCTACAAAAATGAAATATCACTGAACCCTAGGAATAAAATTTTAACTAATTTTTATTGGTTGTTCACACTTTTCTAAGGGTAATTTTCCATTTTAGAGAAAATATAACTTTGAAGACCAAAGTGTCTTCCTCGTGGGATTTGATGGCAATATTTGATTCTGAAAGGCAGGGGCTGCTGTTCAAATTCTGTGTGTATGAGGCACGGATCCTAAAGTTCTGTCATTCTGGCACTAAGCCATTTGATATAAGACTATTTCAGGACATAAAGATCTGAGAACTGGATTTTCCTTCCTATCTACCATACTCTGTAGTTGATATGCCTAAAAGTCCCCCTTCAGAGGAGAAAAAAAAAAAGACAAAATAGAAAGACCTTGGGAAGGTGTATAAAATAAATGTAGACATGAAGAGGAATTTGGTCCCATTGAAGGGCTATTAAACAGCATAATGTGTCTCTATGAGGAGGATGTGACTATCTTTGAAGATAAACATTTTCATGAATAACTTAAATGTGATTATGTGTGAGAGGCTGTTTGGTTGAGCTGCTCCTTAAAGAGATCTTTATACTGTGGAGAACAAAGCTGAGAACACTGTTCAAATCTTTGCTCTGTGACTGATACAGTGACCTTCAACGATACACACAAAAGATTGAATGTTCTCAAGTGTAACCTGATGAAGGAAGGTAATGATGCCCAATGGCGTTATCAAGATTAAATGTAGTACCAAGCAAGAAGTCATTCAAATGCTGTCTAGAGCAGTGTGTGTTTAGTAGTTGTTATTTAAAATAAGGTTCCTTTCAACTTTCTAAAACTAGAGGAGTGTCATAGATATTCTAATTTGTAGCTCTAACTCCTTCAAGCATCTAATAAAAATAAAGTGGTAAACATCCCCCCCAGCATCAAAAATGCATAGAGAGATAAAAGAAGCGAGTGGTACACGTCAGATTTGCCTAGCCCCTGGCTTTTCTATAACTTGTAACCATAATTTTTTTCTTTTCTTTCCCATCTGAGAATTTTGTTTTTGTTTTATTTTCTATTTAATAAAACATAAAATTCACATCTTAGCGGCTAATTACAAAATCTGGCGTCCGTTTAAAATGTTATGAAGCTAGCGTCACCCTACTGTGGACACTGCTGACACTATTACCACTGAAAACTACATCCTGGAAATCAGATCCAGGTGCCTGTGCTGACTATAACTCCCCTGCCTCCAGTCCTTTACAGAGTAGCTTCTTGGGATTACAAGGTTCAGAATGATGAACTTAGAGGAGTGAGAACTACTGACATTTGTTAAGACAAGTTGATGAGTTCCCTCATTTAGGAAGATTTTGAAGGCTAAACAATGTTACTGGAGTAATTCTACCACAAGACACTATTTCTTGTGTGTCTCATCCTTAGAGATTTAGTGTGATATGAAAATGGTAAAGAAGCTGTGTCATTTTCTTCCTCCCTGTCCATGTGCTTTAGGAATGTATATAACCTGTCATTGCTATGGGCCTCCTTATCAGCCAGGTCTGAGATAATGGTCCTCGGCTACTTAAGAACCCAGGTGTGGTACACTCAAGCAATTGGCATAGTGCCTGTCTCTCTGGAGGACATCCATATAGCAAAAAGGAACTGAAGTTTGGCTTTATGGAAGAAGGAGAGACTCTCCTTCCTGTGGCTCTTTGTCCTGCTGACCTTGTCTTACTAGGTTTTATCCCATCATCCTCTTGTTGGCCTGGGCCTCTGAAGATTCCATTGTTGTAAACTTCCTTTCATTGCTATAAGATTTTATTTTTATCTAGTACTCTGCTTTTAACAAAGGAATTTGAGATCACATAAATGCAAAGAAAATATATTTCTGATGGGATTTTTAAAAGCTTAAACTAAAAAGAGAATTAAAGGACAGAATCGGGGGAAACCAATTGTTGTGCCAGTAATAGAGAGAATCATTTAGTTACTGCAGTTGACACTTGAAATTAACATTGGGAGTCTTCGTAGCCAAGACAAAGGGTTCTTTTCACTAACAACCATTTAAGAGTTCTACTAAATTAATTTTACTTGCAGTATCACCATGTGGAATCTTCCCAGGGCTTACTGATCTTATCTTGAGACTCCAACTTACCAATCATCTTCAATCATCAACTTTTCTGCATCCAAGTGTTTACTATTCAAGTTTAATGCGTTTAGAGGTTGGGCCATTGCTCCTGTCTTGAATTTGCATTGAGTAAAGGTGAAAAATCCACATGAGCAGAAAGCACAAATGACTGAATTGTATCAACACAGCTTTGATAAGTTTGAGATAATTCGATCAAATCCTTCCCCTTCTCAGTTACCCTAGAAAGGTATAAAGGGACATACCCAGCTCTGTGGGTCTTTTCCATCAGAATCTTTCATCACACAACAATGGGTATCTCTGAGATAATACATGTTCTCATCTAGGCTTAGAATGAGAAATGTAGCTCTAAGATGAGAAAGCCATTGGGCAGTGTCTTAGTGTTCTATGGATGTGAAGAGACACCATGAGCACAGAAACTCTTTTAAAGGAAAGCATTTAACTGGGGCTGGCTTACAGTTTCAGAGGTCTAGTCCATTATCAGCCTGGCCAGAAGAAAGGCAGCATGCAGGCAGACGGTGCTGGAGGAGCTGAGAGTTCCACAACTAGTTCCACAGGCAGCAGGAAGAAAAGAGACACTGGGCCTGGCTTGAGCATTTGAAACCCCAAAGCCCGCTCCCAGTGACACACTTCCTCCAACAAGGTAACACCTCCTCCAAATAGGCCACACCTACTAATCCCTGTCAAATAGCACCACTCCCTAATGACCAAGCATTCAAATACATGAGCCTCTTCAGGCCATTCCTATTCCACCACCACAGGCAGATATGTCTTATAAGAAAGTATTTGTTTAAAAGCAGGTAGGTTTTCAGAAATATCCCATGTAAATCAGAGGACACTAGCATGGTTGCAGCTAACTTTGTTGGTACCATCACTACTTAGCACCAGATTTAAGAGATTAAACAAACAAAAAGCAAATAACAATAAAAACAAAGAACAAAACAATAACAACAACAACAAAAATTAACATGTTTTGCTCTGAATATAATCCTTTAGGCTCTTGGGATTTCCATATAACACAAGAAATTGTGCTGACTGTCTAGTCTAAGCCAGACACTATGGGGGAGTATTTGTGTGTTTACTATTGGTGGTCAAATGAATGCAAAAGAAATAAAGATATGCACCTTAAACCGGGGCCTCATATGTTACAGTTTGAGTCTGGCATCCAAAATATCTATTAGTGCTGTGGCCATTAACAGTGCTTTATGCCATTTTTTTCCAGGTTGCTATTCCAAGATGGTCCTTTTCAATACATGACCTCATTATTTTCACAAAGACTTACAGCACATTTGACTGCTCAATTCATTTTATCTCTAGCCACTCTATCTGCTGTATACTCTATTAAGCTATACAGGTACAAAGTGTAAGCTATTTATGTAATTTGAATTGGAAACCTACAAAAAGAAGAGCTACTGTGGTCTGAATTGTCCCTCAAAAAGGTAGACGTTTATTTTTCCATTTTATAAAAATGAACATAATATGATACTTCATATACATTTTAGGAAAATGGACAAGATTATTAAAATTATATTGAGTAGCTCCCATGGGTACAATATAATATATACGCAATGATATTTAATAAATATTATGTAGTAATAACTTCTTAGTAGAAAATTATTGTGTATTAGACATTATTATAGACTAGCCAATAACATGGAAATCTCTGTGCTCTGTATAATAAGAAATAGCATTACAGCTAAATTAGCTTATTTGTGTCATATACACAAAAGCATCCTATTTTAAATATCAAAAGCTGATTATGCTCCTTTTTTTTTTTCTAGCACGAGAAGTATTAACTGTTGGGAAACATTTACCTCATGTCCAGTCAGTTTGTGCTCTGGGATCTATAGTCACATAGCTCTTAACACCTACTGTCCCAGCTGAAGTCTGAGGGTCACTTTGCACTATGTTAAAGTAATTTACATTAGCAAATACAATAGTTTATGTTTTTCCTTTAGTTCAATATAGTCCATGTCTGTACTCTCAAGGGGAAAAAAATCAATGAAGAAGCACAACTATCACCAGATTTAAAGAAACAAAAAACAAAACCTAAAATATTATGGAAGCTTCTATTAACACCTTGTTATAGGCATCATTATTCCAATATGCATAGGTGCATCATTGACCACAAAGGGAAGAGAGGCTCATTGGCTCCTGCCTGGTCCCTTTCTGAGGTGAATTGTACTGTGTCTATCCATGTTGTTACTTCTACATACATGAAAGTGTTGGGAAAATTTATAGACTTACTTAGCTATATTGAAAATTAGGCAATTTAAGGCAGGCATGGTTGCACTCGCCTTTAATCCCATCAGGTGGAAGGCAGAGGCAGGCAGATTTCTGTGAGTTCAAGGCCAACCTGTCTACAGAATAAGTTCCAGGGCATCTAAGATGACATAGAGAGACTGTGGTTCAAAATTTTTTTAAATAAATAAAGGAAATATGCCAATTCAAAAAGACAAAAGACTAAAAGACTTCATAAAATATATAAATGAGCAAGACAGATATACAAAAATGGTGTGCATCACTAACAATAGGGGAAATGCAAATTCAAAAGAGGGCACTCTACACTAGACATTACAAACACTAATTGACACAGGGGGTCAGGAAGGCCTCAGAGCAACTGGAAGCCTCATTCATTGCAGGGGGAATGCAAAATAGTACAGGCACTTGGGGAATCCTTACAAAGTTAAACATGAATTTTCTATGCAAGGTGGCCATTTTGATTCAGGTATTTCACTTATATGTGCACAAAAAATATATGCATGGGTGTTATAGTGGTGTTATTCATAATGAGCACACTGTGAACCTTCATCAGCTGGTAAACAATAAAGCTGCATTCAGCCATACCATGGAATACTTCCCAGCAAGAAAAAAGTATGGAAGACCAATGCCCTTTGTCACATGGATGAATTACAGACACAATGCTAAAGGAAAGAAGTATAACACAAAAGAGAATGCATTGTGGGATCTCCTTTCAGTGAAATTCTAGTCTGTGGCTCTGAAGATGAGATTTAATACAAAGGAATACAGGGACATATTCTATGGAATGGTTGCATGATTGTGTACAATTATTCACAGTCGTCAAACCGCACTTTATAAAGATGAATTCATAGTATGTTGATAATGCTCTAGTATGTTTTACCCTGAACTATCTCTCTGACTCATTCTACTTAATACAGAGTGATATAGTTGACATCAAATTACTGACCTTTGTTACCAAGGGAATAACTCTGGTAATCTCAGAAGTCCCTTCAGAGGTTGTGTTCTTGGAACAACACCATTTCATTTCCTTCTGTTTACATTTTGAGAATGCACTTACCGCATGTGTCCATTCCTGGTATTTTCCCCTTCGTCTTACGTCACAAGCACATTGTCACTAGAGGAGTAAATTGCTCTCCAGAAATGAATATCCCTTCACTTAAGAATTGTATTAGCATTCTGCATAAGAATCTTTTGGAAATGTATACCCTTATGAAGACGATAATGCTTATAATCAACTGTGCAAATGGAATTGTTAGAACATCAAGGTTAAGAAAAATCACTCACTCATCTGCTGTAGGTTTGAAAATGGTATGACCCTTGGGTATCAGAACAAGGGTCAATTGTTGAAGTTACAGGGTTTGCATATGTACAAAGATGAGCCCTGAAATGAGAATGGACCTCCCTGTGAATTAGCCACTTTGATTCAAATAATGATGCAGAGGTTGGATACACAGTCGTGTAAGGTCACAGTTGTTATTGCAGCATCAGCAAACGGTGAGATTGTCTGACTCCCACAAAGTCTCACTCAATGGGTACATACTAGTATTTAATTAAACTATTAACATCTTTCTCATTTACAGCTTCAGCAATCATTGGTGAAGCTGCATAGGGAATGAACCAGTGACCACAGTGTATTTGGCTGGGTAAATCTGAGAAGGCTACCACAAACTGACAAGCCAGGTTAAGGGAGGGGTTGGGAAGACTGAACAAAGGAGACTAATTTACAGCAAGAAGATGCTGTTGCAGAGGAGGGGTACTTCAGATAATGACAAGGCACTGTATAGATTTGAAAAGTATAAAAGAAAGCTTTTGGATCTTTTCACTATAAATGAATTGTAAATATTTGAGAAGTTAGACATGTTAAATTGATTTAAACATTACACAATGAGCATATGTGTTTTAGAACATCATGTAGTATTCATAGGAATACTATGAATCAATAGGAACAATTGTTATGTTTTTATGTCAGTTAAAAAATAAGTCTACAGGCTGGAGAGATGACTCATCAGTTAAAGCACAGGAACCATGTTCTGTTCTCAGGACAGACACGCTGACTCATAATCATTGGAAACCTCTGCTATCAGGGATTTGATGCCCTCTTCTGAATTCTATGTGTACCAGCAACACACATGATGTACATATATGTGTGTAGACAAAAACACCCAAAAAGATAACAAATCTAAAATGTCTAATTAAAAAATTAATAAACCTTAAAACTGGATGCTATGGTAGTACATTCCTGTAATCCCAGCATGTAGACAGTAGATAAAGGAGGATTAAAATTCCAAGATTAGCCTTGCTACACAATCCTGTTTCAAAAATAACTAATTAGAAAATAATTTTTAATTATTTTCAAAAGGAAATTATTTACAAAAGGAAAAATCATCCTGCTATGAGTGTGGCAGAGTCTCTTTGTCCTCACAAATCTCCTCCCATCTCTTTTAAGATGAGTTTTGAGGATAAAGGGACAGAAGCATGTGGAAAAAGGAAACCAAAGTAATGGGAGGAAGGAAATGCCAGGAAATGTGTATGTGAAGTCATTCCAGGCAGTAGTTTTCTACTGGAAAAGTGTGAAGGGACGATCAACTGAGCAGTTATAGATACATGGTACAGAAGGAGTGGGTAGGAGGCTGTTTGGATAGACACAGGTGTCAACTTAAAATGGCATGCATTGGACAGATTAGCCACATATCCTGCATCTCCCCTATAAGTTCAGAAGTAAGGAAATCAGGCAACCTATGTCCGAAGATGAGGAGTAGGCTTCGTTCTACTACAGGCAAAGTGGAGAGAGAAATCCATGGGGAAAGAGTTTCATTGAAGCTGT